GAATTCTGTATCGAATGGTGTCAAACAGAAAGGCAATCGGCTCAATACGATTGAATTAAACGCTTGCGCTTAATCACAGATGCCAGTGAAAACGCTTAGTGATGGCACAGCCTCTAATCGTAGAAGATATTTCCACGTATGATGGATCACTGTGTAGAGCTGGTAAATCCGGTTCGAATGAGCGTACAGTGACAACGCTGAGAGAAGATGGAGAGAGGAAGATGGAGAGGAAATAATCCAAATGAACCAGTAGCACGCACGTCACGTGTGTGTGAGGATGACCTTGGATCGTTTTCGTGACAATTATCTTCCCACTTATTTTTAAAATTTGGTCCTACAGTTAACAAATTATCTGGGAGTCCGCGGTGCGAGATTTTACTGAAAAGGGGCCCGCGGCCCAAAATGTTTGAGAACCCCCCCCCTCACAAGTCAACCAACAAATATCGGCTACGAGAGCACGCTTTGCAGTATTCTTCTTTAGAAAGTGATCGTGTAATGTTTGTGCGGGGAAATCTCGGTTGTTAAAAACAGGCTGAAAAAGCAGCAAGAAAAGAAAGTGAAAAATTGGTCCTCGTGCGGACGGCGTATGACTGTTTGATCACACAAACATTTTGCGACTACTCGACGCTTACGTGTGATTACATGTGTAATGCACCATCCAGGTCTCTCAGCCGTTGCAAAAATAGTACCTCTCTGTTCTGGAGACTACACAGCACAGAGCGGCCAGCAATGCTGAGGGCTTGCCCAATCTCACTGATAAGCTTACAGTGAAGACCCTAGGCGTCTACAATGTACGATCTCGCTATATGCGAGGGGATGTTACATCGGTGTGAGAAATTTCCAAAGACTCCAACCACGCATGCCAACACCAGTTGAGCTCAGGCACAACACCATTCAAAGCTGACCAAGCTGCATGGCGGGTTGAAGTATTGATGCAGCGTTTTCCACTTTAGCGTGGCCCAACCATGGTACACGGTCGTGTTATTTTTGTTACTACACTAACCGGATACAAAATGCAATGCATTGACACACAGCACAACACAAGCAAACTGTTTGCACACCTGAACCCTATGATGAGTCCACCGATGCACACTACTTTAGCTGATTTGTTTACTTTCGTGGTTGCACTCAATTTTCACCTACAGAATTTGGTAAACATTCTCATCTGTCTAGGATCAAGCCATTTTGATGTTTCAAAAACACATACTTCCACTGACAGTGAATGGGGCAAGATGCTTAGGAGGAAAATTTTCACAAAAATAATAAACAGATGATCGTATTTTGTCACTTGATGTCACTTTTCCATTGACTGGATGTTTTCATAAATTTGTTATGGGTCGCCTAGAGTCAGACATTGAAGTGAACACAGGCCTCATGGCGGTACAACAGGTGTGTACAGCTTATTCACAGCTGATGACGATGAACGTTAAACGAAAATAAGCTTAGTGAACCCGAATAGGTTCATTTTTCTCTCTTAGACTCTTGCTGCAAATATACTGGGGGATAACATCAAATAAAAAGTACAGGCGCAGAACTAATAAACATACACATAGCTGACACTCCAACAACCAGTCGTTGTCCGTATAAGCAAACGTGACGGAAAAGACAAGATATTATTACGATGCGATGCAATGCGGAAAATAGAACCTTAACATGTGAAGGCATAGAAGAGGAAGAGCGCTTTTGAAAGTTCATTGTGCAGTAGCTGAATGCGTTTATATAGGAACATAGAAGAATAGTTGTTGCGGGCATCAAAATGTCAAGAATTGATTACACCAAGTAGGGAATGTCAAGATAAACCGTGGCAACAAGAAATGTGCTTTAACGATCACACCCATACGACGTGGTCGTTCTGAAGCAGTCCAAGGAAAATCACGGGGGAGCAGTGTAACCAACCGAACATAAAGCATGTGGTTGAAACGTTAACTATTAAACAACCAAGTACTGAAAACACGTTTAGTATGAAAACAAAAATGAAAACGTTTTCCGTCTTTATGAAAGTTTTCACAAACTTGCATAAACCAAGTAAAGTCTTGGGACAAAGACACGGAGATACTTGACAGTAGAATGTCTGGGTGTATGTTTATAGCTCATAGTCAGAGTAGAAAACCGAATTATAAAAGACTGCAACTTATCAGGAAGGAGAGAGGAGCATATCACACTACTACATTTGGAAGCGTTAAGAATAGGGGCACTAGATGAAGAATACTCCAGCGCACATCCTACTTCAGGTTGTAGAAGAGAAAACCTAAGTAGTGGACACCGTTCATCAGCAAACCAGAGCCAGCATCTTTTCATCCCAAAAAAGTGGTTTGCATGGGGAGCTGTTGGACCTACCAGGAGAATAGAAAATGAGCTTACATGGCTACCTGATGAACACAAAGTTTGGCTGAGAGAAAAGCAGATTTTTACTAACTGGCTAGGATGAGTAGAATCCGTATTGTTATATATGAGAAATTATTAACAATAAGCAGCTAGACATGTGGGCTATCTTGTTACTTTGTTATGACTGCTTCTTAGACACGCTATGTGTATAACGGACTAGCACGACTCGTAGTTGGTTGAACGGATCCGGAACAGAATGGTACACCGCACGGATAAAACAGCCGCTAGAGTGCGAATTCGCACACTCGAAGACTTATACGCAACACGGTTCAACACGCACGTTGATCGGGTTCTTGATAGAACGCAAACGTCACATGCGACTGCACAAACCGGAAGAGTAAGAACAAAGATAGCCCTTTCGCCCCAGGCAGTTTTACTAGCCAGGCCAAGACGATTACAGTGCAGTCCAGCTTTGCTTATTAGCGCGACATCAATATGTGAATTTGTTTTTTTACATAGAATGGTTTGCTTAAGCAAAATCTGGAAGTAAGTCAAAGCAAGTGAATTGGCACTATGTGAATAGGATAACAGCATGTGTCGGAAAGTGAATGTTGGTAGATTCAGGGGCTGGACTGAAAAAATGAAAATGTTTCAGGTACTAAAAGGGCTGGATGTCTCATGATTGAACAGGTTGGCCGGAAACAGGAATGTTTTTGAGGTATAATGGCTGATCGAGATGTGAATGTCTCGAGAGTTGGAAGGCTGGCTCACACATGTGTACTGGTCTGAATGCGAGTCTCATTGCCTTCCGTGGTTTCAACTTGTGAGCTTGTGGGGACTTTGGGTCCCCATAATATACTTGCATTATTTTGCAAGCATTTGTTGGTTAGACGCCGCTTTAGTGTTTGTTCTCCTGGAAGAGTGGTGGAACAAGATTTGTGATGCAGAACTACGCAGGAGCGGTGACGAGTCTTGCGGCGATCATTAGTGGTTAGTGTTTCTCCACCTGTTATAACTAGTTCACTTTACTAAAAACAGCAAGTTGCCAGTAGAATCAATTACGAAAGGAGTATGGTTTGAGGACAAACAGGAAGACTAGTGAGCTTTCCGTAAGTAAATTTGTGTACGAGTCGTGAGTAGTCTGACTGTCTTTATTCTATTGCGTTACTATACTTCCTATTTTACTCAGACATTATGTTGCTGACAATAATGTCAATATACATTTGTCAATAAAACATGGGGCGATTTTTGTGTTTAGATCTGCTCAGCTTAGGATGTTGGAATGCTGGGCTATAATACTTCACATATTAGTATTTTAATGTTGACAACATATATACATATGTATAGGTATTTCTTCAATGAGCTCAGATACTGCGCTGGAAACCTGATCCGATCATAAGTGACAAAGAAAATTCCAACTGGATATACAGGACTGCTGTACAGGAACAAGTGTTGGGAGAGATCAATTCTAAACCACTCCACTTCGGATGACGTTACACCAATGGAATCGGTATAGATTTGCTTCAATGCAAACTGTAGCCTCAATCGAATTTGCGTGTCGCAATCCAAATACACAGCGGGTGCTCCAAGGCTCAATACTTTACTTCTTTTCCTGCTGAGCCCTTCTTCGTTATGTTCGTTTCAACAACACCTCAGGATAGACGCCTTTCGTTGCTTGTCCTGTTTACTTAAGCTAAATGTTTATAAAAGGAAAAAATAGCAGTGATTATCGAGTTAAAGAAAGAATAGATACGAGGAAAGTTATGATAAAACAATTAAAAATTGGTATATAAGAACACTTTTAAAAATAGAGAGCACTTGGGAGCAGACAAGTTAACACTTCAACGGTAAACACTTGAGCGGAGAACTGCTTCAAATATGAATTAGTTAAATCAGTTTGAGCGAACGACATGTCTCCCACAGTTTGCAAATATGATGATAGAGGAAAAATTAAATGTTGTACATACGTTAGATGGTTTAGTTTGGTGCCATCCAGAGTTATCCTTTGGGTCCAAGTCTTGCAGCCACTCATACATTTGTCTCAATGTATGTCCCATACACCAGACCGTATGTTGGCTAGTTTGGAAACCTGCTTTTGCCTAAGCTGAAAAATCGGTCGATGGACTAGGTACATGTCTGAATCAGATACTTTTCACCATCCAACGCATTTTCATCACTAAATATTATAGTCTAATCAGAGATGATGTATTAAAGCCTGCAAATAGATTCACCCTCTGAAATGCTTCAAACAACGGCCTTAGCTGAATATAACGTATCTGGTATATCCAGAGTGATGGTATGTGCCTCACAGTTAAAACGATACTAATGTTAATACATCCGTTGCAGTGCGGAAGTGATGCCAGCATCCTAAAAGTAATCTTTTAACGACCACTCTCGACTGTACTTCTCCGCAATCATGTGGAACAAATATCTTCAAGAGTACGCGCAAAGGAAATGAGAGCAGACCACAACCAACATTTCTGCACACGGCGTAGCGCTCCACTGAGCCTCCCAGTTCACCTACTCACACTTCTAATTAATGTGCTGGCCTTACCATGGCTCCACTGTGTAGAGGTGAAATTGCGTTTAAAGTGCAATTGCAACCTACAGTATATTTGTACGACCACCGGGTCACGTGGTAGGCTGCAGTGTGGTTTATAAATGCAGTGAGGTCAATGGTTTTACTCTATCAAGTAATCTATTCCTTTCAATCTTACAATCGTTCTCCGCTACCTTCGTAAGTGCACATTAGGTTTGCTCCGATGCCGTTTCTCTAAGCATCGCCCTTGAGCTAATTTAGAGGCAGATTTAAGTTTCTCAATTCTACCAACTAGCATGAAAACATCTTGAGCATAATGATAGTCTTATGTCCAAACACAATATTATGTTCATCAAATTAGTGTCATTTTAAACATCTGGATAAACCAGGGACATTCATACTGTTTTCATAAATTTAGGGATCAGGTAGTTAGGAGACGGCAAGCACCTTGTTGTATGTCACTATAATTGGACACAGAGGATTTCACCACACAGTAATATGTTAATGATGTTCTTATCGATTTTTAATGTTTTCAACGGACATCTGTACTCGCGTTGCACGATTTGATTGTAGTACTGTGTAACAATACGCAACAACGGGCATGTGGAATCCATATTCAACTTGGGACCCTAAGTTACAATGTCTGTCTCAGGTTATTGGTCCAAATTTGTACGCGTTTTTGCAAGATCATTAGTAATTTAGAGTCCACCAGGTAAACAACGTAGTCTCCCACCCAAGGAGACACAAAATTTCCTTAACTACTTCTCTTTTGCTCTACTTGAACACTGTAATGACTGTAGGTAAAAGCACTGGTGGTACAGTACATGAATTGGAAGGTAGGTTAGCCGAACCATATGCGATAATTTTACCAAGAGGCGATTAAACGACCCACAGAATGGAATCGCTAACTTTTGGAGTACCTGTTCGACTCGCCATATTAAGGATCAGTTGACAAATTCAACAGCATTATGCTGCATCCGTTTTGACCAAACTCGTGGTTTTCAAACTACCTTTACAGCTTCACGATGGCCAAATGTGGACGAGGTATACAAATGACGCTTTCTTGGGTTCCCGAGCGAGATGGAAGGGTGCCTCCTCATGCAGTGGACGCGGGAAATGGTGTCTTCGTTTGTAGAGCAATGTTCGAGGGTTTATGGATCCCTGGTAAACTTGTTGCCGCTAATGGCAAGGCCTACATACCGCACGGTGGTAAAGAGCACGAGCTAAAAACGTACGAAGTGCTGTGTAACTCTGAACGGAGAAATGAACATTGGTGAGTGGCTTTTGCAACAGTTCCGGCTACCACAAACTGCAGCTCTAAACAAACAAATAAATAAATTTGTATATTTACCGACAAACCGTACACGGCCCCATATGTGGGAGCGATCATTTGTATAGTGAATAGGTTTCATGTTTTGTGCGGCGTTACTCATAAAGTTAAATAATTGAATTTCGGATCATGCTTTTTCCTCCGGTCCCACATCCGAGCACCTAATATGTAAATATTGCCGATATTTGTATCATCAATTTCTAGTTTGTGGGGCTCAGGAGTAGATAATAAAAGGGAGGGGATACTAGGCTGCACAGGCAAAGGATTTGGTATTGTAGGTAATGACATGTAGTGGGTAAGCTAGTTGTAAGTTAATATCTACTCATATGTTTTTATACCAGCTTCTGTCAATATTTCTAGTTTACTGTGAGTCAAAGATCATCAACATATTTGATATCGTGAAGAACGTCTGTATGGAATTGCGAAATGTGACAGCTTGCACTCATGCGTATCTGTAGGGGTAGTTTGTTCCCCAGATCAGTATATCTCACTAAGAAGAAATTCGATCGAGTTTTATGAGTTGCAAGCTTTGTGCGTATCAAGTAGCCACCATTACTTTTGAGATAGACTGCAGTCTTCCATACTTCAAGCGCGGTGCTGTCTGCGTAAATTCCTTGGTTTATAATGTTCTAGAAGAAAACGATGTTTTTCGTTAAGCGTCTCAGCCAAAGGGGATCCAATTGAGTTTTAGACAGCGATTATAATAATTCCGGTTTGAGCAGCGCCCAATGACCAGCGTGGCAAATGATCGTTGGACATTTTCCAGAGCCGTTTGGTCTTTCTTTCTCAATTTTCTGTGAACGATAGTACAGCCTGCCAAAGTCGGTCGTACTGTTGTCTTGAATGACTCAAGTCGTGCTTTAGGTAGATTGAAAGTTCTGGTGATATATCCGCATAGCTGCCTTGCTTTTGTAACCTGGTAAAGCACATGTTCGGGGAAATTGAAGGAATTGGAGTACCCAATTCCTAAGTCCCGAATGAATCAACTTGGGAGCACATTTCCGACAAGTGTGATAGAGCCTTCCGGGATGCAGCATCTGTACCCAAGTACCTGGAATTTCACTGCGGAGAAATTAAGTAATAAATCTTCACTAGCTATAGTTAGTGCGGATAGATCTTCACAGATGTTTCCCAGGCACATTTGCAGTTGGTCTGGATGAAATGAGTAGACCAGTTTGAGGTCATCTGCAAACAGAAATGGGTGTCCATGTTTGATCGGGTCACATATATTGTTTACGTAGATTAGGAAAAGTAGTGGTCCGAGCACACTTCCCTGGAAGACGCCGCTGGTTATTTGTTTCGGTGTAGAATGTTGCTGATTGACTTCAACTACCTGTGTTCGACCGTTAAGATATGAGTCGAACCAGTTCCATATGACTCTAGAATAGAGAGCAGTGGCTTGTGCGGTACGCGGTCGTAGGCCTTTAGCATATCCAATAGGATTATAATGATTGCCATTCCTCTGTCGATCATAGTCGTGACGTAATCGAGAAATTGTAGCTGGCAGGTAACGCAGGAGCGTTTTGGAAGAAAGCCATGTTGTGCGAGGCTGACCAACGCCAGTCTCGTAAGATATTGAACAACGTTCTTCTTGACCATTTTCTCTTGGGGTTGTGAAGCAGCAGAGGTGTGATTTATTGGGCGGTAGCTTGACACTTTAATTCGCAGGCCACCTTTGTGCTTAGGCCTTATAATGGATTGCTTCCATTGAGTTGTAAAGCAGCCCGTAGTGAGAGAAAGTGCGAAGATGTTTAATAACAGTAGAGCGAGGTTTTTTCCTCTTAATTTTATAACAGTTGGGGAGATGCCATCTGGACCTGGAAGAGTTGATTGTTTTATGGATGCGATGGCACTTTGCACCTCTCTTAACGTCACAGGGATATTGCAGTATAGCTCGGTCGTTCTTTTTGGAAGTGGAGGATGAAATGGCTGAGTGTAGGGGACAAAACAGGAAGCAAAAGTAGAGTTGATAGCCTCGCATTTGCAGGAGATGTCGCGCGTTATTGAATCATCGTCCGGAGCCACGTTTCAATTTCTTAATGGGGTTTAGGGTTCCTTCTTTTGAGTAGTTGCATCAATGTACATACTTGCTCAGGATTTCTAAGTAACCGAATTTCTTCTTTAATTTTGGACGTTTGGGTTAGACGTTGTAAATGTACTAAATTTTCGTGTATTTTAGCAATGTTGCGAAGCTGTTGCTCTTGCGATGTAGCGATTTGAAATTATTTAGTTTGCTTTTGGCTTTGTACAGAAGCTTGAGTTCACCACTATGTTCATGGGTATTTCTCCAAAGTATGTGCCAGTAGATCCACAACAAGGACAATCTTATTCATAAACTCACTTGTAGTCTGTTGAATATTACCTCTTGAATACGTCAGGTTCTAACAATGTGATACCAACTCTCCTAGACGGATGAACTAACGAGACTCAGCATTATTTCTCGCACGGCACGGTAACTGACAATCTCAAAGTCTGTGGTTTCTCGGAACTTAGCCGCGAAAGATTAATTCACGCGAGTCGAACCGGTTCCTAGACCGAACGCAAAGCTTCTACGCACGATTTCCAAACCCAAGACTGAATCAAGAACAAGACAGGCCTTTTGCCACAGGCGCTTTTACTGGCCAAGGCTAAGGCGATTCTAGCGTTGTACAGCCTTATTTTTATATCACGAAAGGGTAATGAAGGGGGATTTCCTTGGAAGAGGTTTGCTTACCCAAACCCTGGAAACAAGAAACATGGTTTTATGTAAATATGCAAAGCCCGTAAACTGAGCAGAAATGTTGGAAATTTGTCGAGAGTTGTCCGGAAAAATAAATGTTGCTTGGGTACAACAATTCGTGTTTGGTTGGAAACAAGACTGTTTCTGGGTGCAAAGGCTAACAATGTGAATGTTTCACGAGTTGGAAGGCTGACTGAATGTGTGCGTTTTGTCTGGTCTGAGTACATGTGCACTAAAGTGAATCGGGTTTTCAGCCTTCCGTAATTAAGCCTGTAATAATGATAGGGACGTTGGGTCCCCATAACATAGTCACAGTAGGGTTGTAAGTTAAGAATGACGTACTCCAACTCACGGTACTGATAAGTTCATTAAATGAGCTGCAGTCCACACGATGGAGGTTGCGAATAGGTTTTAGCATTTTACTTGGTCATTTAAGTGAATCAATAGTTTTATCACAAAGCACCGTGTTGTGATCACAGCCAGGTAGCGGATTATCAATGAATATATAATCGTAAGAGATTCCCATCGTGAGTACAAGGTTTAAGGCAGTGGCACTTCTGGTTGGCTCTCTAACATGCTGGGTCCAGCCATTCAGGTGAATACATGCGATGATTTCCTCAATCCCCACAATGTTTCTGAGTGTGGGCAGCATCCAGTTAACATGTGGTATGTTGAAACCACCATACATGATTTTGGATTTGTATGTGATGCTGCAAGCAGCATTGATCACGCTGTGTTTCGGGGAGGCAGATAGATACAACCCACTAGAAGATCAGTAGACGGGATCACGATTCATAGTGTATCTTTAAGTTATTCAGCACTGGTTGATCTTCGGGAATTGCAGTCAGGTTATTTCGAAGATATATGGCACAGCCACCACCACGTTCGTGTGAGTTGAGAATCATTAATTTCTGATGCGCACAAAGTTTCGGTGATGAAAGAAATATCCGGGGATCTCATAAACATAATTGTTGAAAGTAGACCTAATCTAGTTAAAAGAGAACGAGTGCTACTGACGACAGATTTGAAAGCCATTGTTAAATTGGAATAAAAGTGGTGGGTAGTGTTTGTTTCTTCGTCATTGTATCTACGAACTGTGTGTTGTGAGGTAGCTGAGGTACACTGAGCTCTACATCGTACTGGATTGAATGAAGTACATACTCCAGCAGTTTGATTATTCTCTGATTCATAATCGCACGTGATAGGGGCTGGATTGGTGGGGGAGGAAGTGATGGTGTACTATAGTCTAAAAAAAGACTTACATCCGTAGTATACAGGGGTGGGGGATGCTGAAGTCTACGAAATCTTTTCTCTTCGGATTGTTTTGTTGCCGATTAAGTAATACAGGGGGTGATTGTGGGTGAATTTTGACTTGAGGTAGATAGGGGTTGCACCTTCTCACCTGTAAGTCCGTGTGGCCTACCACCATTTTGTTTGCTATTTCCGTGTCGCACACATAAGGGTTTTGCCAGCTTGAGGTTACGGGATTTGAAATCGTAGTCAGAGACATTGTGCGTAAGTTTTGGGCCATCTCTCTGCGACTTATCCCGACAAAAATGTCGATGTTGCATGTGGAAGTTCAGGACGTACACTTTTTCTCAGTTGGCCTAGCTGCATATCTCTACGTTCTTGTAATGGTCGCTTCATACCTTTGAGTGTTTATGGGAGTGTTTATGGGAGAAATTCTGGCAGGGTGTTTTCCCCTATTTTTGTCTATTCCTCGGTTGATCAGAGATAAGCCATAGCGTACTTCATTTGGGTCGGATTTAGATTTGTTTGTCGTGATGCCAACGTGACGATCTGAGTTTTTGTCTTGCTGTTGATAGGTCTCAGGTACAGTTACTGTAAACTTTTGTAAAGGCTCGCGGCTTGGAGAAGGGACAAAGGAGTTGGGGCTGTGGTCAGCAGGTGTCTCTGCGTCGTTATATTTTCAGCTTGGTTGGTATTTTTAGGTATGGACACATCACTACTGCTGTTTGAGAACCTCTCATGAGGCCGCTGAAGACTGAGATGCCAGTCATCGCCTATTTTAGACGGCGCGGTTGACTTATCAAGGTCGACATTGCTGATGACAGCGTCAGTACTGGCTTCATTAGTAGGAACATGGGGTGTATGATGGGCGGAAGGGTTTCGTTTCACTGTTAGTTGCCTTTGAATAGGCGTTTGATCGTGTTTGTTGATAATGTTTAAAAATTAGTTTGTGCAATAACTAGCTTTTACTGCG